ATATTTTTCTAATGATAACAGATTCTTGACTACATTTGTAAAAGAAGGAATAGCCTGCAGTATCGCATAGATGGTTACTCTTCTGTTTATATCACAGCTGTTTATATCACGCCTCTGTATCCGATCGCAATCGCGACTGGCGAAGGTGACGCTTACGACGATATCTTACGTCGTGACGACATACATTCCCCACCGAAATATTACGCATCTGCTTGCCTGCGCGATGGCACGATGGTACAACGCGGCACGTCCTTCGTTTCATATATGAGAAAGGGATATCTCCTTGCCCGTGGGGCCCAACCGACGGTTTAGCCACGGCGATGTCTTGCCAAAGGATAGAAGCGGAAGCACCAAGAAAGAGGACGATTTCGCACCATCAAGAAGGTCGTAAAGATCTTCCACCATCATCCCGCTTCACGCGCTCTCGCACGTCATAAACCATCTCTATACGAGTCTCTCGTCTACGCATTCGAATACGATCTGATATTATTACCGCCGTCCCGTTGTATTATATAATATATGGCCTTTTATACACGCCGTAGGCAGTTTTGCGCGCCCGGAAAATTGATAGAAGTGAAATCGTTGGAGAAAAATGAAGAAAGTCGCTGCTCGTTCAGGTCATTGCACTCACGAAAAGAAAATCGAGGAATACTTTTTTTTTTAGTGCGATCCAATAAGAGTATCACTCGAGTTGTTATTTTACAACCGGTAAGCTTGTCAAGGGGCAATAAATTGCCTCTGCACCAAGTTAAGAAAAATACGTTTTTTTTTTTTAATAATTCAGGATGTAATTAAAGATTGTAAACGAAAAAAAAAAACAAATTTATAAGAAAAGTAATACTTTGCGTTGGTTCGTGAAATCAATAATTATCAGACGTACTGAAATAAGCGGGGGAACAAGCTTGACGAAGAGTAAGTCATTTGTATCGCGCGTTGACTTGCACATTTTCAGACACAACGTCGCGCAATTTCATTTCATCAAGATAGCCCTCGCCGACGCAAACAAAGTGCTTCCAACACGAAGTAATTAATTACGGTGATCTGATTGCACGCGATTAATCCTGCCGACTTTCGAGCGGATCATTAATTAAGGGTGAATGAATGTCCCGGGGTATGTAGGCACTACCGAGGACACGCTCATTTATTTGGAATAATTTAGTTTAAATGAGTAAACCGTCTGTCTGCGTGTGTGCGCGCGTGCGTGTGCACGCGCCCAAAGTTCACGGTCGATATCGCGGCCGGACATTCGATTTGCATCCGAGATATGATCGATGGTTCTATTCATTCGCCAAGCAATTATTACTTTAGCGATATTTATACTCAATTTACATATTATTTTTTTCACGATTACGATACATGGCCCCTCATTTGTCAGGAACAGAGCTTTTAATTGCCTCGGGTAGCACCTGTCGCGACTCGAAACAATTCCAAGAGAGCTGGAACCAGGACAAAATGAATAGCGTATTTTTATTCACCGAGCTGGTCGGTTCTCTCTCTCTCTCTCTCTCTCTCTCTCTTTCTTTTATAGAAAAATTTCTGCACTTTGTACGTAAATAGCGACGGAATGTAATTATTATTCGGTACAAGGCGGGCAGGTTTTCTTTGGTCTCGTAACTCTCCGTGCTTGCGCGCGGCGGCAGGACTCTCTCGCGTTGAGCTTTTTATTTATACAGCTCATTGTGCCTCGCTCCTACAATGTTACACGGCTTTTCTCGCCGGGTTTCTTCTCTCCCGCATCCACCGGCTTTCCACCTTCGCGAATCCAATTACTTCTGTGCTTCTTGCCGAAGAAAGAGCGCGACGGAGACATCGCGAGGCTTACGACCCTCCTTTCTGCGTTGCACTACAGGTTGCGTTGCATCGCTTTCACCTCTGCGCTTTCTTCCGGTGCGCGTTCGTATTCACGAGCTTTGCAGGGCGAGGTAAAACGTCGCTTAAAATGCAACAGCGTTAGGCAGATGTTTTAATTTGTTTGCACCGCGTTGAGCTAAGCCGCGTAACCGCCGCACTCTGTTGCGCATAAAAAGCCCGCGCGCGATCCGCCGCCCAATCTCTCCGAAGAATTCCTACTTTGTTATTTAATTATACGATCACGACTTCCGGTGTATTCACATTTTGATTATGAAAAAAAGGAGGAGAAAAAGAACGCTCTCTCGAAGCGCTCTCGCGTGATTTCGCCGTTCCCCACACCTGGCAACCTTTGTCCATAAGATCAAGCGGTTTAATAACATGATTCAAGGAGCGGCAGCGATCGGTACATTAAGGTCAGGTGGGTCGAGGTATATAAAGATAATAGCTCGCCACCGACCGATCGACCGACCGACCGATCAGTGATAGGTTTTGATTGAAATATGTTGAAAAGTAAAGCTTGCAAATTGCAACAAACGCGCGATTAATTCTACCTATCAAGAAGTATAAAGAGTATTTGACTAAATGTTATACAGTTAATGAATTAATAACTGCAGAACATTCTTATCGGATTGTCTAGATTTCAAAACAATTCAGTTTAAAAATTTCTAGAAAATTGTCGAAGTCGTATAAAAATAGTGTGGCAAAAAACCGCGAATTTTTTCTTCGAGAAACAGTTGTTTTGAATATAATGCCGTCATCTGAGTATAAGATTCCATAGGGACGGGATTTGTCCACCGCGAAGGGCACGTCGCAGCGGCGCGATGCCTTAATGATGAGATCTGAGGCAATGCGCGGCAATCGCCGATCGGTTCGCTCTCGCACACACTTCGCGGCGGGGTCAGGCGGGTCGCAGCGCGTAAAAATAATAATCAATCGAACGACCGGTAAGTGAGAGCTCGGCAATTACGCGGTGGCGGCGGTGCCCTGTGCTGCGGTTTATCCCGGGCCCCGGCCGCAGCTGAACCGAGGACGGAGAGTGGAGAGAACTTCCTTCTACCGCCTTTAATTCGCCTCCATCCCCCCTCCCCCCTTATCCCCCGTCCTTCCTTCGCGTGCGCTATCATAACGTAACAACGCGAGACTCCCTCGCTTTATTATTAAAAGTTAAAATTCCGGTGGGAGCCGGAGCGATCTTGCGGCGAGCCTCTCTACAGGCATCCTCATCCTCTCCATCTTCCTTTCCTTCTCTCGTTCTCTTCTCTCATCCCTCTTCTTCTCTGTTTCTCTCTTTCTCTCTCTCTCTCTCTCTCTCTCTCCCTCATTTCCCGACTCGCTCGATTTACGTTTTTCCGTTCTTTTTTCCTGTAAACTCGTACAAACGTTTATTGGCGCGATACTCTATGTTCATAACGGCCGCTGGTAGCAATCGCGTATAACTGCATGTATATCCTGCGTTTGCGCGCGCGGGGCATCCTCATAGATAATCGTATTACCATCTATCTTGTAGTACGCCGCTTCGGGACGTCGAATCGAGATTCGAAACACGCGGCCCTCGTCTTCCGCCTTTAAGCCGCGAACGACGCTCTCGAAAGTTTTCTCGCGGTCGGTGGAAACGCGCCGGCGCGTTTCTTCTCACACGTTTATCATAATTCGACACGTACAGCACATGTTGTCTCGAATTAAGGGGGATTAGAGAATTACACAAGCCATCGGGTTTTAATTAAACCAAAATTTATACCGTTTACCGCCGACTTTCATTGCCGGGGATTTCACCGAACCGCGCGGCGATGCACGGCGAGTGCATGGTTTCGATATACCGGTGATTTTGCTTGCAATTCGACAACAAGTTTTTCTCGCCGAACCGCTTGACAACCGGTACTGTCGAAAGGTGGTAAAACTGTCCACCGAAGAGTAAAGAGAGCGGAACGAGAACGGCGATGTGCGTGTGTGCACATCGTGTGAATTACGCGACGCGTCGCGTCGAATTGCCATTTACTCACAGACTGATTGAAACGCGCTCACGACACCGACGTATATTTTCAAACGAAATTGCAGTTAGTTGCAAAATTTTCTGTCAACAAAAAAGATAGATCAGTGCGAAAGAAAATATGAAACAAATTATGTACATTACATATAAATCGGTGAACATATAGCTTTTTTCCAACTATCAATAAATAAATAAATAAATGGGAATGTAACTAACATAATCGTCAAGAGAAGAAGTAAATTATAACGTAATAATTTCTTTATTAGAAAGAAATTGACATAAAAATCATGTAGGAATGATCTCTGTGATTTCATGATTGTGTTATTACATTATAATCGAATAGAAAACAAAATTCCTCGCGTTCCATATTTCGATGGAATCTCGTTTGCGCGGGGATTAAACTGTTCAAGGAATGTCGATCGAGAGAGGGTGGGGTATTTTTACTCGTGATATCATCCTTTTTTTTGTCTTACGGTTAAAACGACGCGGTAACTCTTTTGCAGACAACGACGGACAACGGGGATGATCCGACGGACAGGGGGTTCGCGCGATTACGTATTATGCTAAACACGCGAAAATGGCTTTTTAAATGGAACATCTACATTTATGTAGTCAACGGTAGAGCGTCCACGGCCGCCGCAACCCGGCGGACGGTCGCCTGGTGGAACCGGCAAGAGCGACGGCGAATTAAATGCAATTTTCGTCCCATCGAGGCATGCATAACAAATTGACGAACGTCTTTATACTTAGAAACTGAGTGCGACATTATGCACGTAGCACGGGGGCAGGACGCTATTTCGTCGCACGGCCGATTTACAATCCGATTATTATGCCTGCATAATGTCGACTGTCCTCTCTCCCTCCCTCGTCCCCTGCGTGTAAGCACGTACTCAACTACGTATAATACGACCGACGAGAGTGGCGCGAGCGGAATTTCTAAGCGAATGCAATTTAAAAAGAAGCAATAAAGCGGAAACTGGCTACCGGGAGGAGTAGTGCCGTCGCTGCCCGCCACTGCTGCCGCCGCCGCCGCCGCCGCCGCCGCCGCCACCACTGCCGTTGCTACGCTCCATCCTTAAAATTGAAAATTAAACGTTTCGTAGCGCACTGTGAATTTTGAGTAGCATGTCTAACCCGTGGCTTCACGCTTTTTCTGTTTCAGGATCCGACTTCCGTGAGTATAGGTCATTAAGTTACCAGCCAAATGCTACAAAGTAATGGGTTCGGGGCCGGGAGAGAAAAGCCGAGAGCCGACCCGATGGTCGGCAATTAATTGCGGAGCGCCGGTTTCTTCGTAGGCACGAGAGCTCCTCGTAGGGTGCATTCACGAACGGCGAGAAGTTTTGCGCGTATTCAGCATGCATGCGGTTTACATTACTAATCGTTCGTAAAAAGTATGCCGCGCGAGGGCAAAAAAAAACGGTGAACCTTAAACTGTAGCAATAATTCGTAGCTCGAAAGAACTGCGCGGCAAAACTTCTCCGATCGGTACCACTAACGGTACGTATTTTTGTTACATACACGCACGCTGGGATCGACGTCTAATCTTCGTGTGTACATTGCTGCGAAACATATGCAGGGCGTAAGTATCCTACGATTTATTCCAATACTTTTAATACTTAGATATTCGCGGTGGATGTACTGGAGTTGACGTGGCTACCTTTCGACGTTTATCGGCGTAAATCGTTCGAAGTACACGCCGAATAGTACTTATCCGTAATTTTCGCACAAGCACATTGCATTTGAAGAGTTACCCGTATGTCTAAGGCCCATCCAACCGACGATTATTATTCCATTTCTACCCACACAATAATGAACGAGGAACAGTTAAGAATAGTATGTAATTAGTAAAAATAATAACAATTTTTGCAACACAAAATACGAATTGACTATAAATTATTGAGTACTTTCCACCTGCTCGTATCGTGCAGTATCATTGATTGTACAGAGAAGTTGCAAAAGTAAGTTACACTTGAAGGAGATAGATAACAAATTTAATTGTTCAAATATGTATAGGATAAAATAAAGACTTATTATTTTGTTAGTATTTTTTATTATTTTATTTTTATTATTGAGAGAAACTAGCATCGTATTGTAGTGATACTGTGATATTGCAATCTTACCGAAGTTTCATGCCAATTAACGCGACGACAATACTGCAGTCGTTCCAATAATTCGGAGAGGGGGGACGAAGGGAACCTGCAAACCTCAGGGCCCGAATACGAAATGATGGGACGGATAACTGACGTCTCTATAATAGTAAAACTGAGACTATGGCATTCGTGTCCCGATGGGGGTCCCTAGACGTCGTCGGAGACATCCAGCGCCGCGGGGGACCATTGTCTCAGGGGGATCCCAAGGGCGAGTCACGGCGAAGGGCCAACCCCGGTTTGACACGCACGAGGGGGTCGTAGCACCCCGTCGCGCCCCTCACGGAAATTAATAACCGAAATTCAAGTGTTCCTACTCGGGGCCAGAAGTTATCGCGCGGGATGTGTCCGGCGCTGAGTCTTCCGCCACTATACGGGCCTCGAGGACGGACCCCACGACGCGGCAATCCGAGCATCGCGCGCCCACGCGATGCATACGTCGAAAACGAAGTGCCGAGTTAAGTGACTTATAATAAAGTCGGCCGAGATTTACGGTGTTATTTGTTATTGGAGCGTGTTGGGAAGGGACGCGCACAATCTTGCGATCTCGCGTGGTTGTATCGTGATGTCACTATTAAATTGCCCACAGATTCAATAGGTATAAAACGGAATAGCGTTTGAAGAGCGTTTCTCGCCGAAGAAAGGACCGTCTCGAAATTTATTAGGGGATTCTCGAAGCTTGACGAAACCTGATCGACGATTTCCACCGGTCGTTCGGAAATAAACCGAGACGCAGGTATCGCTCGCCCCGCATACCACGGCGTCTCAAATTTCCACATCGGCCACTGCCTTTTTCACCGTCGCGTATAGGTATATCGCGAGCGGTGCTATAAGCGGGCAATTAAAAGCATGCAGCGGGAGACATTTATGTTCGCACTAACTGCCCGTTAAGACGGGGAACCACCTAACCGTGGAAGGTGTAATTGGCCGGCATGCTGAACCTGCAGCTCGTAAAAGCACAGCAGGCGTGCCTCGCCGTCCTGTAGTTTTTCCGGCGTGACGTTTTACAAATCGCGCTTTACGTTAGATCCATTGTTTAACATCGATTTCAATTTCGTACGCGCACGGCGACGGTTTTTCGATGAGAAACCAAACGTTCCACGAGAACGGCGTGCATAAGATTCAACGGCACAATCTTTAGGTGGAAAACTTCAGTTGGTGCAGATTCGAACGAAAATTCATTTTGAAGTAATTAAAAAATAACTGTTCCCCGTTTGTTAATTACGTGGCTTGGCCGGGAAATGGGAAACTAATCGTAAACAAATTTACAAGTATACACCGGAACGCTGCATTTTTAACGTTCTCGTCAAATGCATAATAGGCTGCACGGTTAGATAAGCCTACGAAGCAAGAACATCTGGACGTTAAAAAAGAAAAATGAGTTGTTATTGCTGCGGTTATTAATATAGATCCACCGGCAGAGATAGTGTAATTGTGCTACAACGTAGTCAGCAAGTATAATTTTAATTGCGATAAACCGTCATTACGGCAGCCTTGTTCCTTCTACGAGCCCACCCATCTTCATATGAAACAAAGAAAAACTGGGCTCTAATGCGCCGTGTCAAGATAAAATGTTTCCATTTATTCCGACAGACCGATGTGAATAACAGGAATAAAAAACACGAGAATCGCTTTCGGTCTTACGAGCTATACAAACGTACAGTGATTAGTTGCGTGATCATTCGTTTTTTCTTCTCTTAGCGGCTTAAAATGTATCGTTCTACTAGTGCAACATTTAACGCGTTGTAATAAAAATTCCTTATTTCACTATAAAAATGTTGCGTTCCTTTTACGATCGCGATCGCGAGATACGGCACCGGACGTAACAATGTTATTAGCATAGATCTAACATAGGGATAGTGTAATTGCGTTACAATGTAACCAGTCAGTCAGTCAGTCGTAATACGATATACAGAGTGCCGTAGGAGTACGCACTTCGCACTCTTGGCGCGAAGGAGAGGCACGGCGGAATTGACAGAGCGCGCGCATTACATTTTTTATTAGTACATACGCACGCCGCTCGTTACGCTATCGTTCACTCGTACGAAGACACGCATTCCCGACGATCCATTTCTCCCCTTCTCCCTCTCACACGCAGACGCGCACTATTCTTTCTATCTCTTTCGCCTTTCTTTCTCTTTCTTTTGCGCGGCTTCGATTAAAATGCCAGACGCCGGCTAGCAGAAAGAGATTCGCCGTGATACGCGATATTGTTACGCGTGTACACGTTGTAACTGTCCGGATCCGTGACGGAGTCACGCGATATGCATTATGCACGCACGTAACGCCGCGCGGAGCGGTAGCAGACGCGTTTCCGCCGCCAGTCCCACGATGCAGCTCAGTGGACGACTCTCGCTCGCTTTGTGAGAAACGAGTCATTGACGTGCGCCGTTTGCATTTTCGCGTTCGGTACGCGGAAAAAAAGAGGTGAAGAAGCGCGCAAGGCTCTATATCTCTCGCGAGTCCTATACATTATTAATATCGCGGGGGAAAACCTGGCTGGGTTAAATGGCGCGAGCACAATGACGGCACGTTAATTACACACATCGCCGCGTCATTATTTTCGACGGCACACCGGCAGCGCAATTTAGCGCGCGTATCTTACATAAATGCAATTACTATCACGAAACTCTATATATATACGCGCGTTCGTGCGATACTCGCGTATCGAAGCTATACTGCGACGAGCTGTTGCGTTTAGCTCCGGCGAAAATGCATTTCCACGCGTGATATAACGAGTAATACGCAATGTGTTCCTCGAAACGTCCTGGCAAGAATGCAATTCGAATAGAAAGCGTCGTACGCGAATACGCGCGGAATACGTTCGCAATGTGAGTTCCCAATTCAATGCGCGGAAAAAGAAAAATTGGGAAATGTTTGGAGAACGTAATTTTGCGCAAGGAGAGAAATCTGATAATCTTATCTCCGAGATATCGCGGTGCACCTGTGAGAAAAACTCGTCTCGATAATTCCTAAGTTTCTTCTCGCGCGGCTAATCCCATTTCGCGTCACGACGTCCTTGTTCGCAGGTGGTGAAAACTAATCGTGAGACAAATCCGGCGTGTCCCTCGCTTTCCCTCTCGCTCGCAATGAATTTAACATTATCCACTTCTTCCCCGGTATTGTCCGCGGCGTAATGAAGGGACGCGAGCGCGATAAGAAGAGCCGTGAGCGTTGCTCCCGGAGCGACTTTCACCGCGCGCATCTCGTCAGCCACCTGTCACGGCGAGCCGACGGCGGTCGCTCGCGAAGAAATGTCGCGACGACGTCGCGATTCGCGATGCACCCTTCCGCGATGAGGTCCGCCGATGTCCGTTCGCGGCGGTTCATTTACGACAGCTGCATTATTCCTATATGCGACGCGCCATTACTTTTATTAGCATAATGACAGGCGAACAACTCAATTTGCATGGAAAATCACATGGGGCCCGTAACGAAGCTCGCCCGCGGATCCGTAATAGTTGTTCTATCGGCATACATGCGTGGACACATATTATATTTCGCATATTGCATATTATGTGATAGCATAGAATGTCATGTACAATATATGTGAAAAATGTAGGAAGGAACAATGCGCAGAGACGAGAAATCTTCTAGTCGAGTATATGGCGAAGACTTTTTCGGAATATCGCGCGCTCTTTTTCATTTTCTCTCTCTCTCTCTCTCTCTCTCTCTTCCTCTCTATCTTTACGCTGGATAATTCCGTATCATCATCGAAATTGCCCTCGATCGTCGTCGTCCTCCTCGTCCGCGGCTTGATTGAGAGTAGTCGAGGATCGTTTGCCACCGCACCTGATCCAATCGTCCATTCGATAATTGGCGTCGGTAATGAGACGCAGGATTACCTGCTCAGGTCGTTCAGGCAAATTTTTGCGGTGAAAAAAAAAGAGACGGTAAGAGGAATGGTGCGCCGTTTCTCTCAAAGAGAATAAAACGACGAGCGATATTGCCCGAAATTGTTCGGGCGAAGACAGAGAGAGTTTGCGAAACACTTGCGCCCGATTCGTGCTCGATTCATGTGAAGT